AATCGATTGTGAATTGAAACTTACTTTCAATTCTCTCTTTAGTGATTATACATCTTTGAGGCTTCCACAAGCCATGAGTGACACCCAGCTATGTCATGGCTACCCAAGTTAATCAGAAGAGGTTAGAGAACCTATTCAATTTGGGATTATAAATGCAATACGGTCTTTCTTTAATACAATACTCTTGATCACATTGTTTGGTTTGATAGTTTATTCATATCTACTATCCAATGTGATTCTCTTACTTATATGATTACCTTGTATGTGATTTGGAAGGACTTTCTAAATCTCATTCATACTCTGGCCAGAAATTCTTAATTATATCATAAAGTATACTCCCTTAACGGTTTGAAGGTTAAAGATATTTTGTTGTACATTCACATATCCCCATGATTAACTAGCTTAACCCCAACTATGCCATGGACACTTTAATGGAATGCCTTTAACATAGTCAAAGACTAAGGACCTAACCACAAAACAACCGTGATATCTCGGGTCAAAGAACTATTTTGCATTATCCCAACTATGAATTCTCATGTGACATGACTACGAGAACTCTTCATTGATCGCGTTCAATGAACTCATTCTTTATTGAGCACTTACATACTTACCTTGGTATCAGTCACATTAATGACTCAAGACCAGTCACTCTCCCAGAGAGAAGTCATAACATGTACTGATCTTAACAGATCGTCAATGCCCAATTGGCAATCCTATGATTGAGAACGCTTAGGGTATATATATGAAAGAGAATGGTCTCATGAATCTAAAATCTTTAGATCACATTCTCGTAGTTACATATTTTTTGGACTTATTATTTACGTGTATAACATTTAATGAGACGGCTTTAAACAATAATCGTTGCTCTTACATTAAACTATTTAGTTTGACATGTGAAATGTTCGTAAAGTATGATCTTAGGATTGGGCTTAGGGCACATTTCCAACAGTTCCTACACTACCGAAGGTAACCCTGTCGTGTTACAAGTTAGAAAGAAAGTGTAATGAGATGAATGAAATGGTGCAATGTAATGCATGCCTTATGGCGCAAGGCTTTTCTTAAATGCCCTGTGATTGATTACATGGACTGTTCCAAAAGTTCCAAACCATAGAACACCCTCTGATAGGAGCATATTTAGGCGACTTACTTAGCTTGTTTTCGTGCATCTATGTTGTTAATTCATAGTTGTTTTAGTAGTTTAAGCCATTTTCGTGTGTTTTTAGGTTCATATGGCTAAGGAAGCAAAAAGATGCATTTTGGAGCATTTTGGAGCAAAATTGGGCTTGGAATGGATAGCATATGATTGGAGCCAAAGTGTTGGACGAATTTGAAGGCCTTGTATTCATTTTGGACATAAAACAAAGGGCCTAGCCCATTCTCTCTTAAACCAACCCCAAGGCCATGCATTTCCTTCCAATTCCAAAGCCCACAATCACTTCAAAAGCCATGCAAAGAACCATCCATTCCATCAAAAACAATCCATCAATTCACATGCAAAACCACCATTAACACACATGCACCCAAACAAAGCCAACCTAGCTAACCCTACATGTATTCTTTATGCAACTCTTCATCATTGCACCACAAATCATTCACCCACATGCACTCATATTCCCATTTCCTTTCCAACATCTCACATGCATTTCCACCTTCCTACTTCATCATTTCACCACATTCTCCCTCTTTAACTCATTTCATTATTCATTCACTTTGCATTCATTCAATTCCACCCCACATGCACCCTTTATTCTTCATCATTGCAACCATGGCACATTTACACCAACAAAACAACTCCCATGCCATGGCCTACTCATATTCCCATTTCCTTTCCAACATCTCACATGCATTTCCACCTTCCTACTTCATCATTTCACCACATTTTCCCTTTTATTTCCACATGCAATTCTTCATCATTGCAACCACAAACACCTTAAACAAATAGCCATATACATCTCCACTCCTCCTATAAATACCCTTGCATTCATTCATTCAAATATCATCTCATTTCATACACAACACACCACAAACACTTCCATCTTCTCCCTAGCCGTGAGTTTCTCTCCATTTTATGCACCATTTTCTCCACCACTCCTCATCCATTTCCATAATCCCCCAATCCATTCAACACACCAACAACATTCCTTAGTCCTTGTGCCACAATAAAGAGGAAGATAAGAGGGCCTAAACGTTCATACAATTCAAGTTTGAGTTGTTGGAATGTTTATGCGTTTCTTTGATTTCAATGTTTAAATTCAATTCTCTTTGTTTTGTAATATGAGGAATGGAAGAGAAGAGTGCCTAAACGTTCATACAATTCAAGTTTGAGTTGTTGGAATGTTTAGGTGTTTCTTTGATTTCAAAGTTATGAGGAACTAAACCCTTTTTGGCTAGGGGTGATTTCAATACCATGATTATTTATGTAATATGAATTGATGAATTCCGGTTATGAACTCTTGATTCGTGAATGCAATTGGCTTAACTATTTGATGATTAACTTATTTGTGTTTGTTGATTGAGGGTCGACACTTAATTAGCATGCATGAATATGTGGCTAAAGTTTAAGAAGGTTTCACATAATCGTTGCTAACTTATACTTGAAAGTAGTGAAGGTCGCTTGTCACGATCGCGTTAAGTTTAATTCTTAGCATGAGTAACATGATGTCATAGTTGCAAATGCTTTGTCAATGCTTATGGTTTTCATTATTCTTAATGATCTTCGATTGTATCTCTATTATGATGACATGTAGGGAACTTTTGAGAATATTTTAGGTTGTCGAATGATGTCATCCAATCCAATAATTTAAGGAAAATCTGAGGGTTAACTAGTGATGTCACGGTTAATTTGGGGCATTGTCGTTCATAATTCAATGAAGGAATAACTGGAAATTGATTCATATGCATAAATATCATGTGTGGAGAAAGAACCTCTAGCTAATTCACCAACCATCTAATTTCACAACACTTGTTTGCAATCTATCCATATTTACAATTTGTTTTGTTTCCAAGTATCCATTTTAGTTTAAATTCGTCCAAATCCAATTCCCCCCTATTTCGTTGAAGTCTTAGTCTTAATCTTTCTTATTTTTAGTTTTGCTTTCTTCGAGCATTAAATAGTGTTTTATATTGAGTTTTTATGTTTTTAAGTCAATTTAGAAGGTTTTAGCAAGCCCTCCTAATCCCCGGTCTAGAACGATCCCTCACTTATCCATTCTATTACAATTGTCAAACGAGGGTTTAATTTGAGTGTCAAGTAATTCTCGCATCACCCTCTCAACTCGTCTGAGGTGTTCACTTTACGAATTGAAGCAATCCCCGGCTAAGTTATTATTTGATTAGTAAGGGATATGAAATTATGCCCTTACGTGTTAAATTAAGAAGTTATATTCTGAATTGCTAAAGTTTCAATTTATATCAATGACATGAATCTCACTAAGGCTCCAGAAGAGCTTGACAAAATTACCTCGCACTTGAAGACAAAATTTAAGATGAAATATCTTGGGAAAACTCATTTATATCTTAACCTGGAGTTCAAAGCACTGTTCTCACGGTATTTTGGTTTACCAGTTGAACTACACCTGAACATGTTACCTTTGAGTATACCTATGGTCATCCATACACTATATGCAAATAAGACCCTTGAAAAGGTTATAGAATCTAAAGTTCCATATCTGAGTTGAACTTTCTGCTTTGTTTTACTTAACTCATTGCATTAGACATGACATCTCTTTTACTATTGATCTATTGGTAAAGATGCAGCACTGCGCCTACATGCACCCACTGAATTGGTATTAAAGACGTTTTCCCTCCACCTTGAAGATACTACGGATTTCGGCTAATCTATATGCATCCCGAGCGGATCCAACCCCTATGATCCTTGGAATGATGCTTTTCTTTATACTATGCCGCATGTATCAATCAGACGAAGGCATGCTACATTAATGCCAAGACATATTGCGTCTACATCACATCAACAAAGAATTAGGAGATTGAAGTCAAGCAATCTGATCCCAGACAACCTGGCCAACCTTTTCACGATGCCACTACCAAAGTCTACCTTCTAGAAGCCTATTTGAGAATTGGTATGTGTCACTATCTCATATGCAATGCTTGTAGTTCTCATTTGGAAGTTTTGTTAAACTCATGGGGTATCCAGAAGTATACTCACTTGATCGTAATGTAATCTTTTTCCCTACACTTAAGAGCATTTTTCCTACTAGATTTTTGCTACCTAACTAAATTTTTGCTACTTGCGTCCAAAAGACATATAGTTTTAACTTAATGTAACTTCTCGTGTTGCTTCTTAGTCTATCGGTTTTTATCCCACCTTGGGCTTTATCATAGTGAGGTTTTGTGTGTTTGACCTTTTTTTATGCATTCTTCCGTTGATTTGAGACTCGCATTAGCTTATTGTGCCAACAACTTCATTAATTGTATTTCCTTTATTGTTGAAGACCTGATGCGTTATTTACTTGAATATTTACACACTTAATGAGAAGTGTTGCGATCCTAATTAGGTTAAGAATGTGATTATATTTACGTACTCAATGTGTGAAATCCCATTCCCGGATTTCACTGTTATAATCTACGTATTTGTATTATTGAGATTTTATATTATTTTTGAGAAATTATATTAATTTATTTGAAATTAGATTTCAATTAAACTAGGTACAAAGGGTGAAGTTTGGAAAATTATTATTTACTTGTTGACCTTTTAAGGTCACAAGTAACGTTTTCGAATAGGTCTCGAAGCCACGAGCGCATAGGCGAAAACCGTTTGCAAGTCCGGGTTATAATGATATAGTTACGGATATTTGAAGTTGTGAAACTTTAGGTTGTGAAAATTATTTAATTTCCAGTAGAGGGTAAAAGGCCCAAATATATATTTGGGTTAACGGAACCGGTTAAGGGGAGAAGAAAGGAACCAAGGAAAAAAAAAAAAAAAAAAAAAAAAAGGGCTGCTGCTAACCCGTTTTGGGATTGAATTGGACCCGTTAACCCACAAACTTGATCTGCTTGTATCTCCTTCATCCGAACTCCGTTTTGAGTGATCTTGGTGTCCATGGAAAGCTCTTGATGAGCCCTACATCCTTGTAGTGTTAGATTTCCCAATTTCTTTCCCATTTTTCCTGTTTGAAGCCACAAACCCACGGGTGTTCCGGCGGCTTTATCCCTTTTTACGGTGGCTCCGGCAAGTTTCACCGTCCATGAACACCACCAAAAGACTTCCCTCAACCCTAGGAACAAATCCCAAGCGGTGTTAGAGGCGTCGGAGTTCGATTGGAAGCCGTATTCGAAGCACACCCACCTTAGGGTTCCGACGGTTCGTGGCCAGTTTGGGGTGTTTTCTGGCCAAATTGGCCTTGGCTGCATGTATAAATTTTACTCTACTCATTGAGATCTTCATTCCTGTAAATTTTGGTAATTTTTGGAGATAGTTGGATTTTTCCGACGAGTCGAGGCGACCGACCGCCACCTGCGGAGGCGCTTGCGGCGGTGCGTGGCCTATAGGCCGATGATATCTTTTAAAGCACTTTTAGATGCCATGATTTCATGTTTGATATCCGTACGACGTAAATTGATTGTCTGGACTTAGCTTCTTTTCGATACGTGAATAGGTCAAAATATAAACCGATGATCCGACCGTTGGATCGTCACCAAACTTCAAGACACTATAATAAGTAATATTTGAGGATGTTAGGAACTTACGGATCGGGAATCCGACATACGGATCTTCCCGAATTAGATTTCTAAGTTTGTAAAATAAATTGTTGATCGCCATTTAACTTTAGTAATTGGTGGAGATCCGACTGTCGGATCGCGATGAGATTTTTAGTATGTTGTTCTTTAAGAATAATGTGGACCTTAGGAAGTTACGGACCTAGATTATGATGTGCGGATCTTCTGGATCAAATTTTGTAGCGTTGTGGATCCTATTGTTGACCGAGAATTGACTTTTGGTCAACATGTCTCAAAACGTTCTAAATACTAAAATTAATACTACAGGGGACTAATTGGAGTCTAGTGGGCTTACATTGGTTAGAGAGTGACTTGAGCATATGAGATATGAATATTAATTTCTTTTCTTTTATTAATATCGTATGTGAATATGTCTTGGTCTTATAAATGGGATTTGTATTGAAATGTGATTTTATATATTAGCCATAGACTATGTTATTAAACATGAATTGGTTTGTGTACTGATGATGGTTGGGATACATTTGAGTTTAATTATCTTTTAGTACTGTGATTGATGTGTATGATTATTTTTTTTTTATGATAAGGTTATCCTAGAATCCTATTTGAAGCATGTTGTAGCACCTATATGCTTGTGTGACATATTAGTAATGGCCTTGACAAGTTGATGGTGTAGATGACTACGTTGAAACTCATAGAGGTTGAGATGTGGTTAAGTTGTGTGTTGAAGTTGTTACACCATGTAGCAAAGGTACATGGATGGTCCTGCCTGGTATATCCGCATTGGGTGATCATCGTCTGCACAATTATGTTGAAACATAATGATGTTTATGATGGAGGAAATAGAAACCTTGGTTATCATGTGGGTTATTATGTAGCTTGAATTGAATAATTCATGCTTGTCAAGTCCAAATGTTTGATTGAGGAATGTTATGCCTTTTTGGCTTGTACGAATCGTGTTATATGTCAAGTTATAGAGAAGTTGAACTACGAATGGCTTGATCCTTAATGAGGGTACGTAGTTAGTCTAATGAAGAGATTAGATGCAGCCATAAAGTATACAAAAAATTATTATGCAATTGGATCTTGAATGTTACTTTGTTTATATTCAGGAGGTGGGGTATATTAGATATACGGGTATTTGGAGACGTCACGTGTCGATACTGGACGTATGTCGAGATCGGGACGTGACACAACGACTTCACCAATTGTATTTACTTCATATCAAAATATTTACTCTGCACACTTTTCTCAAATATGAATTACCCCGTAGATCAATAAACTAAAAAATTGTAACTTATGCGTAGCACACCATGATTAAGAAAAACCTCTCGTCATGCATGAAAAAGTGTGTGCATAAAGGTTAATTAGAAAATTACTTTTTAAATAATCAAAATTGCATATTACTAGAATGCTCTTTGTCAACCAAAATAGGATGAAAATAATATTTAGTTTTCTATGAAAACAAAAAATTTAAGAGCAGTGATGTAATTTCACAAAACAAAATTTTACTATTTTTTGTTTCAGTCTCACCCACAGATAGACTTGGCATTCGTGTCGTGTTTCTCGTGTTTGTGTCATACTTGACAGCCTAACAGGTCGTGTCGTGTAATACTCGTTAAAGTAAACGGGTAATATGACCCGACCCGTTACCCGTTAAGAAAAATATATTTTAAATCAATAAAAATGAAAATGAAAAACATAATTTGACCCAAAAGAATGTAAAACATAATACTAAATTAGTATATACATACTAAATTTCGGAGTTAACGCCTTCATGAAAGTTGTAAAGCTTTTCATTACGAGTGATTACATTTTTCACACTTCTACAATAATTATTATTAATTTTATTAATTTTTCACTCAAATAAAAAACATTGTTCATGAGATTTGGAGGTTTTTAAAAATCTAAATGACCATGTAACCATCATCTAAACGTTGAGGATGCAATTATAAACGTTTATTATGCTTTCACATCTTTCAGACTTATACATTACTGATTATGAATTTTGTTTATTTTGAACTCCCTTAAAAATACTATTCATGAAAGTTTGTATGGTTTTAAAAACTCAAACGATCATACATCCATCCTCAAAGCGTAAAGGATGTGACTAAGAGCGTTTTCATATTTTTTCATATTTTTTGCACATGTAAATTAATTATTATAATTTTTTTAATGTGTTTGGTATTTTTAAATTACTTGATATTTTTATTTTTAATGTGTTTTATGATTTTTAATCTCAATCTTTGCCTATAATATACTACAAAAATAAATAAAAATTAAATTTTAAAATTATATAGAATAATAATTAATAAACAATATATACATATTCATTATATCTATTGTATTTTATAGTAAGTTTTTTTTAGTAGTTTAAAAAATTAAAATCATCAGAATAATTTTTTTCTTATCGTGTCGAAACAGATTACTCGTGTGTCATTCTCGTGTAACTTGTTAAGGACCCGTTATTAACGGGTTATTATGGTGTTACTCGATAATGATCCGATTAGCTATCGTGTTGATCCGAAACCCGTTATTTTCATGTCATTTATGTGTCGTGTTAACAGATCATATAAGAAATTCCCATGTGTACCTATTGATGATTTTAACATCTTTAATTTAAAAAAATAAAAAATAGAAAATAATACTCCCTCTCTATACTCCCACGTTCTCTGTCCTCTCTCCTTCAATTTTAAAAACAAAAATAAATTTTTTAATATTTTATAAACACATGATCTAGTTGGTGTAATCAGATGCGAAAATTAACGAGAGAAATCTACATTTTCTACGACCAAGCGAACAAGAGGAATAGAGGGTTACCATGGCCGATTCATCTTCGTCTCCTTCACAGTCCTTCGTTACAAAGCATTGGGAGGGTTACAAGGATTTCTGGTGCGAGCGATTCTCCTTCCTCAACAACTACTCCAAGTTCGTCAAGCGGGACAAGCCCCTCCCTTCCTGGTCCGACTCTGACGTCGAAGCCTTCATTGCTCTCGACCCTGTCAATGGCTCCGCTGTAATTTCTTACCCTTCTGTCTTTCTTCCATTTTATTCCTGTTTATAATTGTTTAGGGTATATGGGTGTCTTTGATTTCGTGTTTTTCTGACCTTTGTGGATCAGGGTGTACGTATTTTTGTTTCTGTTTTGATCTTTTTTCTGTTTTTTCATCTGGGTATTTGTTAATTTTTCTCGTTGATTCAATTTTGGTGGTGTGCCCCTTTTTGTCTAATTTCTTGATTTCATTTTGGAGCTGTGCCCCCTTTCTTTTTTCGAGATGAATAATGTTGGTTTGAGTTGATGTATTCATCTGGGTGAGGTATTTTTCCGTCTATCGTTTCATTATTTTTGTCTAATTTCTTGATTTCATTTTGGAGCTGTGCCCCCTTTCTTTTTTCGAGATGAATAATGTTGGTTTGAGTTGATGTATTCATCTGGGTGAGGTATTTTTCCGTCTATCGTTTCATTATTTTTTCGCTTATTGTTTATGCTTGGTGCCTTTCGGTTACAAATGAGTGAGGTTGGTGCTTTAATGTTTGGATGGTCTACGGGCGGGGCGTTTAAATGGCTTAGGCAAAACGATGAATGGATCTTCAGAAATTTGCATAGATTTGATTCGAGACTGTTGTTCTTTTGGCATGAAAGTAATCAAAATAAGCGACATGCAGTGTTTGGATTTGAATTTTAGTTTAATGATGTTTTGAAGAGAAGGAGTAACGAACCTGAAATCAAACTGATGCGTATGAACTAGTAGAGAAAGCAAAGAGCTATGTGGCTGGAGACTCCGTCCTTATTTTCTGTCATGTATTTCTGGTGGCATTTTGTTTAGGACCCTTTGAAAATGCTTTGTAAGCAGACATGTCTGGTTATTCGTGGAAACAGTCAAGATTCTTGATTGTTAAGAAATTTTGTCTAGTTACCTGAGCAAGCAAGTAAACAACTAATCAGTCTTGCCCTCAGAAATTATTGAGGTTCACTCCAAACAAACTGTATTTTGTATTTCAAGTGTGGAAAAAAACACGTCTAAATTGCTATTCTCTTCTTTTTGGTATCTTTTCATATTTATGTTGCCACTGGCCTCCACCTGAAATGCCGCATAAATGAAGTGGAAAAGCATACCTGATTTTGTTTACCTTATATATTTAGATTTCTTATTTATTCTTTTGCAGCTCTAAGTAGTGGCTTTGTGCCACTTAGTATTGCGGTCTAATGATATTCCTCTTCACTTGTAAGTGAGAGGTCTTAGGTTCGATTCTCGCCAAAGGCAGATTTGAACCACATTATTGCTAGCCCATTTTGAGGCTAAGCCCACCCCCTCCCCCTTAGTGTAAATAATGTCGCTTGTTCAAAAGAAAAAAGAAGTGGCTTTGTATTTCTTGTTCAAGACAAAAATGAAAGGTTTTCTAAATGCAAACAATTACCATTGGCTAATCTTGACTCCACCAACACTGTTCCACTCATGTATTATACTATTTTCTGGTAACCCAGTTATTTTGCCTGCAACTTGAGAAGATGTCTGCTAATATGATATCCGAGTCTTGTCTTATGGTTCAATGATGCATTTTCTGTACAGCTAAGCTGTGTTTTCTTTGAATAGCTGAGTTAACACATTTTTGTTTTGCAGCTGAAGACTGCTAGGGAAGCAGTGAACTTTGGTCTTACAGGAAGTGTTATTGGAGCGGTATCAACTGCTGGCTTTGCGTGGAAATATTCAAGGAGTTTACATGGTAACAATTTGCCTTTTATTTTAGGGTTTACGATTCTATTTGAAGAAGTACTGCACAAGGATCAGATGTATCTGGTTCCTTGTTTTTACCTTCACTTATTAAGCTGGCTATTAGTTGGATCTCTAATTATAGCACCACTTCTTCAGTTCGGCCTGACATTTTTTTTGCTTTACAGTTCAACATTTTCTTTAAACAACCTTTCAAATTTGTGGATGAATAAAAATGCATATCTAATAATTGGACACATCAACACATCTTGATATCTTATTGATGTACTAAGTTTGTGTTCACTGGCAAAAATGCTACTTATGAAAATGATAGTGCCTATAACTGGGTATGATAAGATGGACTGACATTGATTTCTATCAGTGGCAAAAAGAAAATATTGTATGAATAGTTCATTATTTCTTTCTTATGTTTTGTTTTTTCCATTCCACTTGGCCTGCATTGTCTATCTATATTCTTGAAGCATAAATTTCTGAAAAAATTTGGGTATACTTAGTGCACGAATTTTACCCTTTCCCTTATTGGTTTCTGTATGCTTTGGGTGTTCATGGGTGTGCCGTGTTTCCAATAAACTACCTTCTTTTATCAAGGACTTTGTCTCATTAGTTATTTTGTGGTGTCCTGTAATCTCAAGGTTCATATGCAGTGGAAGAAATTTTCCTTGTAATCTAGGTTCTTGTTTCAACTGTTTCCCTTTCCAAGAGCCGGACTTTATTTAATCTGTAGCCGTCATTGTAGAAAGCAAATTAAGATTAAGCATTCAAGCTTTGGTAGGGCATCATAAAGCAGCGGTAGGTTATGATGCAAATATTCCCCTTGTCTATTTGAGTGAGCTTATGCTCGTGTATACAGAATAGGATGTGAAGATATTAGTAACATGTCTTGGTAGGAATCAACCTTATTCCTATATTACATGTTGTAGTGTATTACAACAGATGAGTGCTATCGCTCGGTGATGCATATGACATCTGTCTTGGAATTTTAACTTGCAATCTTCATATGTTTCTATCAGGAGCATGACAATTGACGATAGGTTCTTTTAGAAAACATTATGTTATGGATGGGAGGATCTGGTTTCTGAACCCTTTTGCACTTGACAGGTGCTGGACTGTCCCTTCTAGCTGGAGGTGTTTTTGGCTGGACATTTGGACAGGAAGTTGCAAATCACTGGCTGCAACTTTACAGGTTCGACACCTTGGCTGCACAATCCAAGTTCCTTGAGTGGTGGCAAGAAAAGAACGAGAGACGATCTTAAACATGGCTTGCTCTCGGAAGCAAAGATAATAACCGTTGTTCCAGTTCTACAATAAGAATCAAACACACCTGTGTTGAAAGTTGTAATGGGAAAAGATTGTATTTACTTTATATTTGTGCTGGATTGTTTCTTTTGGGCTCTTAAGAAAATCAGTCTGATGAAATTGCAACATTTTGTGAACTTGGTCGATTGTGATGGATTTTTCGTGTGCGGAAAAAATTGTTGCATTTGGTGATTATTTAAGATGTTTCAGGTGACGTGCAATCTTGGATGCGCATTTTATTTGTGACCCAAGGACGAGGTTTACAATTAAAATGCGTCTCTCTCGGCGGAAAGTCCAGACTCCGTCGCTTGGTTAGTAAGATGGCATGACGAACTTGAATAAGAGTTTTGACATCACTCAAGTAAATCGTACAAAATCGGCTTACGGTAGTTCTCTATTCCAAGATAAAATCATGTTCATGCAAGCAACACGACAGTCACACGCTTGTAAGCTACATGGATCACAAGACACGGACTGTACATACTAAACTTCCATAGTGTTTGCAGCTAAACAAAACCGTTCACGTATTATCTCCAAAATAGTAAAAAGACGGTAGCAAGATAGAGTCTCTCATGCCAAACCTGCAGGCCACAGTGGGGAGGAGATTTTCCGCGGAGTTGGGAGCGAATGCCATTCAAACAGGGGTAACCTGAGAGGCTGCATGAGAAATAGCACAACAGTTGGTGAATCTTACTTCGCAAAATATGCGTGTCATATAGAGAGTACAAACTGTGAAATCTATGTTAATACATCAGGAAAAGAAGATGAATCTCATATCGATTAGATTGTAAGAACTTGCATCTCACCTTAAACACCTGTACTGCAACCACACACCAGCGATCACAAGCAGCAGGATGACCTCCCTTCAACAAAGACGGCATCCAAGATTAAAGGTTAAAAGTTCTTACAAAATTTCTGTCATGTCTACAGTAGTTGAGATATAAACTAACAAAATTTCTTTACAAGACTAGGTAAGGAAGTTGAGTTCTACCATGACTGCATTTATTTTCCAAACCTTCAAGGGTTTGCTTCCCCCGTTTTCTGAACGCTAATTAAGGAAAGCAATTGTTGGATCTGAACCCAAGTTGCTTCCATCGATTTAAAATTGTTTTTGGCCTGCATAGCTTTCTTCACCCAAGTTTTATCCTGCATACAATGATCCAGAAGCAGCTTCTGGCTGTGCTCAAGCTTGCAACGGAACTCATCCATTTCGGTTTTGTGGTTGGAATTTAACTCCTCCAATTTCTCCAAATTAGCTTTTTCTTCAATCAATTTTTTCTCAAGCTCTTCAACCCTTGATTTTTGCACAATGATGCAAGCTTGCAACTTTTCTTCATCCGCTTGAGCTTTTGAAAAAAGGCGATTGTAGACTTCTACTTCTTGTTCCAGTGCTATCTTCTGATTAAATTTTTTTCTAACTTCAGCTACGGTTCCATTGGCCTTGTGGTACTTGGACTTCACAGAAGCAAGCTTCACCTGGACATTTTCAATGTTCGCATACTCAACTCCAGTTTGGCCATAAGCGTTTAGCAAGATTTCCAATGATGACTTCAAGTTCCGTAAACATTCAATTTCCATGACTTCATCCAGAGAGAGTGTGGTGATACTTTGGATCTTGGCCTTGGCTTGAGAAATCTCATAGGAATCAGGAATGGGAGCATCTTCAGTTATAGCCAAGAGACAAGCATCTGGATGATGATGGAGATAAGTATCCAGAAAGTCCAAAGCTCGGGCAGAATGCAGGGGCTTTGACATCTAAAGTAAGAATCAGTAAGCATCATAACATAAAAGTGGATACGAAATAGTTGAGATAGATACAAATTACCTTGACATCAAGATTGTCATGAAAACGGGAGCGGTAGGAACCACTTTCTTTACTTATAGTATTTGGATGAGATGACACTGCTTGAAGCTGGGATTGAGCTACTTGAGGAGGCCGAGATTCAGCTGATTCTTCACTGGGAGGAGATGAAATTTGACTAGGAAGCTTCGCATTTGAAGCATCCGCAACCTCAGTAGGTGGCACATCTTCCAGCTTAGGAGTACTGTTATATTCAGTTACTTCAGCAATGTGTTGCATATCTATATCAGACTGTTGTCTTTTTGACAGAGGAGTACTCGTGCTTTTCTCATAGATGGCTTGCTTAGCCTGAGAATAGAATTCAGAATCGGACTTTGTTAGATTAATCAAAAGCCGGTGCACTTCTTCTTTGGTTATCCTTGTCTTTCCAAAACTTTTGCCTCGTCTAATCTCGGGTTCATTTTTGGATTGATGAGTGGTTCCTTGGCTTGCCAAAACCTTTGCCTCAGTTGGGTTGGCATGAGATAGATAATTCCCCTTTATTATACTCCTCAAAAACTGAAATGCTTTTTTGGTCGTTCTTTTCTTACAATGAGCTCTCCCTCGTCCACTCAAGCATTGAAAAGTAGGCAGAGGATTTGCTTCTTTTCCATCCTCAACTTGCGGAGCCACACATTTGATTCTTTTTTCTGGTGGGTGTACTTGCAGTCGGTCAGAACCGGGGCGTTCAGTTTGTATAAGGGTTGACTCTGCATAAACAAGAATGAGAAGAGAAAGTTACGAATTTTGAAGATCAAATATTGAAGCCTTCAAACGTAGTCAGCCATCAGAAAGGTCAACTCATGTAACAACTATTGAAGCCTTAAAAACGTAAGCAGGTTGACCAACCCAGTTAAACTTAAAAGCAATCTGAATAAAGTGGAGTACATATTAAATTAAGATACTTGATCCATCAGCCTTTACAATTTTGTTGCAGTAATTCATTAGTATTAATATAATAGTTGATTGATAAACTGTCTCACACAATTCACTAGGCAAGTATTTCGGATTGAACGTACCTTTACGCTTCTTCAAAGCATCATTTGACTTAAGGGGAGGAAGTGGTCTGTTCTGGTCCAAGTCATGAAGCTTGAAAAGATGGATTAAATCTTGATCACGAGGAAACACTTCCTCATAGTATTTTGCCCACCAGCCTTTGAACGATGAGGTGGCTCTAGGTAGAAGTGAAAATGGAACAAATTTAAGTTTCTTGAACAAGTGAGATGCGGTAGCCTCAAGCTCCTGGAATTGTTCAGAACTTTGAAACACTGTCCTCTCAGAAAAGTCTGTATTGAAAGAAAAGAAAGGGGGAGCAGGAATGTCCTGAATCAAGCCGAACTGACGGGCACAGAGATTTGGGCAATATGCTTCCACACCACAAATTTTTTTTCCAGATTTTCCACAAGTGATACAACCAGGAAGATCACGGCTAACCAGAAAGCTTGCCCACATGTCCAGGATTGTAGAAATTCCAGTTTTGGTCATTTCAGACTGAGGAAAGATCAACCATCGAGGTAAAGCATCCGACTTTGAATATGGCATGAAGTTAAAGTTCTCTTCTGTGTCTAAGTGGCACAGGTACAATAAACAATCGTGAAAGGAAAACTCAGGTCCTTCAAAAAATACATATTTCAGTCCTTCACAAGTGAGGTTGGGAACTGAAAAGCAACTGGGACGTACTTTAGGAAAGTATGTGTGAAGCCAAAGTTGAAGAATCCAAATCGGACCACCAGAAGCACCCAACTCTGAATCAAGCAAGTCCTTTATCCCTCTATACAAGTAACCAAGAACAAGGGGTCCTAAAGCGTATGGCTCACCCCTAGATAAAGCCACAGCCAAGGGTAAATTGGATGTAACAATCTTGAACGAACGAGAACAAAGTAGGTAACGACAAAGCCAGTAGTGAAGAAATGCTATATGCTCTTCATCTGTCACAAGGCCCTCAATTTTGTTATGTTGTTTAATAAAGGAAGAAAAAGAGGAGTTCTTTGTAATTCGAATGCCAAAGTTATCATCCGGAATGGAGATGGAATTAGCAACGAGAGCATCAAACTGGGGACCATCTGGTCTAAGTCCTAGCAAAGCACTAAGATCTAACAGAGTAATAGTAAGGGGACCATGACGAAGATGAAAAGAGTTTGTGGAAGTTGACCAAAAGCAGAGTGCAGCAAGTACTAAGGAACGATTGAAAGGGATGGCAAACTTAGAGAATTGGAGAATATCATATATTCCCGCTTTATGCCAAATGTACCCTTTTTGATCTTCGACTCTTTCAAACCAAGGGATCCAATTAGGGTCGTTAGTAGGCCACAAACCACGGTGTTCATAAAACCTTTCGTAGAATTTGGCATTTTGATTGTTTATAAGAAACTCTTCAGTTTTCCGCTTAGGAAACTCACTATTATAACAATCAGGTAACCTTTTTGTGGATTTCAGAGCAGGACCTAAGATAAAGTGTTGGGAAGTCGAATCAGGGATAAGTACTTGAAAATTTGTAGTTTCAGTGCCTATTTGCTCCTTCAGGTGGTTCAATCTGTCAAGAGCCTTGGCGTTGGCGTCAGCGTCGGCCGATTCATTGCTGGTGGATGTAAGAGCCATGTTTCTACTGAGAGGTCCTCCTGCTTCTAGAAAATTTCAACAAAAAATAAAAGTTACTATTTTTCCAGACTGGGATCACCAGTCTTCCATTGTATCATTCAAATTTTTTATTTTAACCAAAACTTACATAAACAATTTGGGTTAAAAAAGAAACTGCCTTGCAGACTTGCAGTGCGCCTTTTTTCCCCCCACAAAGCTCAAGAAAGCAACTGCACAAACAGATTAAGAGCAAATAAAATTAGGGTTACATGTATGACTGTGAGCAGTTAGAAAAGAAACGATCCGACGATTAAGACAAGCATGCAATGCATCAGACAGAAGAAAAATAATAGAAATGGAGTAGATGATAAAACTAGGGTTAGGGTTTAGCCCTTAGTTTTGCACATTTCAATGGACATAATTACTGCTAAGTTGAGGCATGGCATGAAAAAACTTGAACGCACAAACCAACACAAGTAGATAGCTCGAAAGAAGCTTTCCAAGAAAACGAAGAATCATAATTTTTACCGATTCAAACGAAACAAAGGAGATCAGAATCAGTTTTCTTCTTTTCCTACACGTTCTTGTTTTGTTGCTTGTGTTGGAAGAAGTGACGGGATGGAAATCTTTTTACAGTGGAAATGGAGCAACTGAAACCTGCAGGGAGGGGGCTGAGAAGTCTTGTGGTGTACTCTTCTATTACTGTTTATGTCTTTTAAG